GAAAGGCATCATCCGATTCATATCGAGGGGTAAGCTTAACCCCCGATACATTGGTCCGTTTGAGATCCTTGAGAGGATTGGAGTCGTTGCTTACCGGCTCAAGTTGACGCCGGAACTTGAAAAGATACATGACGTGTTTCATGTATCAATGCTCAAGAAGTACATACGGGACCCATCCCATATTCTTGAGAAACCGTCAGTAGAGATCCGTGAGGATTTACAATATGCGGTAGAGCCGGTGAAGATAATGGGTCAACAGGTGAAGAAGCTTAGGAACAAGGAGATTCCTATGGTAAAGGTTCTTTGGAGGAGTGATCGAGTCGAAGAAGAAACAATGGAGACCGAAGTCTCAATGAGGGAGCAATACCTGTTTCTTTTCGATTAGACATGTGGATTTCGGGGACGAAATCCCAAATAAGGGGGGTGAACTTGTAACACCATCCCCAAATAATATTTACTTCTTAGTAAATAATGTATCAAACCTTATGGAATGATCAATGAATTTATGAAGTTGTAATTTTTTATTAATTCTTTCGCGTGAATAGTAAATTGTACGTGGGACCCGCATCGGGAGCGGGGACCATCCGATAATCCCGGGACCACATATTATATTCATCTTGGCCTATATGATATTTATATGGTGGTGGACATTTTAGTTGGGCCATAGAAGGGCATAAGGTTGACCCGGCGGTCAAACGAGGCTCAATTACCAGTATTGGTAATTTATGAGATAACAGCCCGAAACGGAATTCGGAGGCTCCTAAATTACAAAGGAGGACTGTATATTCATTCTAAGAGTCCATAATGATGGAAAACACATAATATACTTTATTTGACCCGATAAAATGAAATATAATTAAAACAGTCCGAAAAATACAACTTTCAGGACCAAGGATAATTTTTTAAATGCAAACATATGCAAAACACAAGGCAAACTTATACTTGTAACACCCTATTGGCCTATTATTCATACCTTTTGAAGTGCAAAATCAGTAATAACTTCACAAGTCTCAATTTTAAGCTGAAGTCATATTTACCGGACGTTGGTTCAAGTTTTGGTATTTTTGGAGTCAAAATCAGGGGATTTGAGTCTGACACCGGCGTTTGAGAAGCAATAGGGACGAGTTGAGAAGCATTTGAGAGTTGATTAGGAGCATTGGAGATCAGTGAGGTGTTAAAGACCATGTTTTGAAGACAAAAGAGCTCTAAAATTAGGCACGAGATCAAAAGAAGACGAATAGGGCTTGAAAAGAGCACTCGGGATGACGTTCTATCAATCGTTCAAGCATATATTTTCTTAGGAACATCCAAAGAACACCATTCAAGTTTCATATTAAATCCAACTTCAAGGGCTACAAATCATATGCAAACACCATTGCGAGAATATGAGATAAGTAAGGTGAAAACAGACAATGAAGTCAGTTAATCTTTGTTGAAATTTCAGAATGCGGCCTTCCACCATTTTATTCATATATTTTGATTGGATGATTCAAATCCAGTTTTGCAAGTTGTGTTGGATAGAAGACTTCATTAGCTACAACTTTGATGAAGGAAGGATAGTCAGACGTGAACTATGAAGCCGATTTCTGCTTGCAGTTATCGCTCGATGTATTGGCGGTCTACAAATAGCACCTAATACTAATACCGGAGTAAAATTTTTTGGAGACCCTCTTGGCAGTTGAGGCCCAAGGCAGTTGCCTGGCCCAACTGCCCTCAAAGCCGCCACTGCATCAAAGGTACAATAGGGGACCCGTCCCCATATTATTTTGAGAGAAAAGCCAAAGAGGCTATCTCCTCACTCACCCACTCCATTATTTTTGGCCAAGCTACCAAAAGAGGAGGAAAAGGAAGCTCTCAAGTCATTCTCCATTGGTGCAACTCGAGCTCAAACAAAGGTGGCCCAAGGAAGAAGATTATAGGAGGAAAAAGTGTGAAAATTAAGGTAATAACCTTATCATAACTTTTCCCTTATTTTTCTTCTATCATATGAGATAAATATCATATGGAGGACCCTTAGGATTGTTCTACATGGTATGAGTGTGGAATAATGGGTTGAAAAGTGGTTCTAAGTCCAAGAACGGATTTAGAAGCCAAAACGACCGGTTCGCCGGAAAATAACCTTTTGGAGGTTATTTGTATTGATATGAGTTTTGTGATGATAAAACCATGTTAGGAGCTTAACTAAGGTGTTTCTAGAGTTTGACGGAGTTCGCCGGAGTTTCGCCGGAGTTTCGTCGGAGTTCAACCGAAGAGCGTAGAACACGCTATAACTCATTTAAGGTGAGTGGACGGCTTAATATCTTATAACTTTTGGGTTAATTATGAGATTACCTAAATAAATGTTATATGTATTCATAATGATGTTTAAAGAAGTTTAAACATGTGATTTGCCAAAATGATTAGGCTTGTATGAAATGAATTATTTGAATATACATGGAGTATGATGTGAGAATTTCTATGAAATTACATGCCATGGATTAAAGGGTAAAGGAAGCCTAGAATGAATATTATTGACTTAATATACATGATGATTGAGTTGAGATGTACAAGGTTTGAAATGGCGGTCAACGAAAACGTTGACCGATGGGTAATGGATTAATTAATACCGGTTGGTATTAGTTAATTACAAACTTATATAAACGCATGGCTTGCATGAGTTGAGATACATAAGCTTTATGGATTGATTTAGCTATGAATGAATAAATATGATATAGACTCTATCTAGGTTGATAGGAGCTTGATCATAGGATTATATATTGGTGGAGGACCCTAGAACTTAAAGTTCTTAACACTCAAATTATATATTGGTGGAGGACCCTAGAACTTAAAGTTCTTAACACTCAAATTATATATTGGTGGAGGACCCTAGAACTTAAAGTTCTTAACACTCGAATTATATATTGGTGGAGGACCCTAGAACTTAAAGTTCTTAACACTCGGATTATAAATTGGTGGAGGACCCTAGGACTTGAAGTCCTTAACACTCAGATAATAAATTGGTGGAGGACCCTAGGACTTAAAGTCCTTAACACTCGGATAATAAATTGGTGGAGGACCCTATGACTAAAAGTCCTTAACACTCAAATACAAATTGGTGGAGTACCCAAGGATTATGATCCTCAAAACTCATAGATTATGATATTGAAGTATGGACAAGGAGGAGTCCTATATACTCTTAGGCATATGGGTGGGTTGGGGTTTTGGGTCAAGGACATTGACTATTAATATTTTCCCAAATAAAACGGTGATCTACGGATCGGGTATTTTCCAAGTGTATATGTACTACTAAGTATTTCTTAACTTAGGGGGAAGGACTATTTATATAAGTATCACCCTACGTTTGGGTCTTATACTTGAAACGCTAGTTATTCTATATTTAGCCTGCTACTCGCTCGGTACTTGTACTGACCCCTTCGGGGGGGAGGGGGGGCACCATTTCAGGTTGAAGCTAAGGCTTGTCATCTACACCTTTGCACGGGTGAAGAGAATCCAGAGGAAGACGTGGTTTGTGCTCCCTCTACTATTTCAAAAGATAAACTACATTCATGGATACTTTTGTATTAATACTATTTCAATACCAATTCCAACTATTGCACAAAAAAACATAACAGAAAATAAGTGTTAAAAACAAAAACATAAAGAAACAAACAAAAACTGAAGAAAGAAAATTGACGATATCTAAACAAGTTGAATCAATTAACAAAATCTAAACTCTGTCAGACTGAACACCCTTCAAGTAAGTGCAAGTGTGCAATTCTATATGGTAGTCTTATGTGTCAAAATGATGCCACTATATAGTTTTATTAGTTGTTTTGTGTAAATAACATATCGTTCTCCTAATTCTGCCAACATATAAACGGTTCAGTGATATGTTTTTGTTCAATACGGTTCTGATTTCTGACTTTCCTTGAGCACACTGACCACAACTTCAAAGCCTTTTCTATTGCATATGGTTAATTTGAAAAAGATTATATTTTAAGAGAAACAGGACTAGATGTTTTGGACACTTTATTTAACATGTCAATTTGATAAATATTTCTCCTAATTTTATATTTTCTGGGTCAAATCCTCCACATCATTTTATTTTCCCCTAATTTACAGTCCTTCAATTTGAAACTAAATTGAGTTGAAATTAATCAAATTGAGCAACCCAATCGTTTTAGTTTTCCCTAATCCATAAATTCATCGTGAGTTTAAAACTAATTCACAGTACTCATATATTATACTCCCTCCGTTCCTAAATAAACTTCCAACTTTCCTTTTTCATCCGTTCCAATTAAATTTCCACTTTCTTTTAATCCATTTGTGGTTCACAACATTTCTTACACATTTCTCTCTCCTCTGCACAACTCTCCACCACACAATACCCACTTTTCTTAAATTGTGTGCCAAAGTGGGTTGGAAGATAAAATAGGAACGGAGGTAGTACTAAAAATCATGAAGAAGGCATTAGTTGTTGGCTACGATACCTGGTTTCAACTTGTAGAAGAAGGTGGACGATGAGAAGTGTACGCTGGTTTCGGCGATTTGAAATGTATAAGCGAGACTCAGCGATTTGAAGTGTACGCTTGTAGAAGATAAATGGGGGTATAAGCGAGACTCTAATGTTTTTGAAACATCTGAACCGTAAGGACAATTAAAAGTCCGCTGAGCGAATAAGTCAGGAACCGTCTGACCGAATAAGTCACAATATGCATTAAGTCCTTAGTAAACAACATCATATAGCTGAGCAAATAAGTTACCATATCAATTAAGCTCATTAAGTTCAAAGTAAACAGGCTCTTAGTCACATAGCTACTAACCCAGGGTTCAGCTCAACCTAATATTTTATTGTCAGGAACCTTAAAAAGATCAAAATATTTTCTCACATTTTCGAATCCAAATTCTTGTATTACTCCCATCAACAGACTATTTCAACATGAAATAATTACATAAAAATATGCAAGACTATTGATTACTGGAGTTTAACACAAGTGTTTCTAGATTCATTAAAAGACAGAGAGAACATGAATGTTTGCAAATCATTCACCAAACCCGTGTAAATCGAAAGGTGGTAATAATGACAAATTGACAAGCCTAAACGTGTGGTCTTCAATTCAAATTAGCCATGAGTAACAGATAACAAAGATTCATATTGGCCAGAGTGAGCACTTCATGGCTTGACCTCTTACAGCTACTACTCTTTGAAATTGTTTACAGATATACAACTTTGCTTTGCAGGCCCTATAGACACTAAAAACCTTATGTGGCCTCAGAATTCTACTTAAAAAAAAGAAAATCATAAGAGGCCAAACACAAACTACCTAAAATTCGTGCAGAATTCATGTATTATTGGGGGGGGGGGGGGGGGGGGGGTCACAATTCCATGGACATTAACAGCATATGTTCATTTGACACTCGAGATGAAGCAGCCTCAACAACCTCAAAGCCAACCTTCCTGTACAGATCCAGAGCAACTTTGTCCCCTTCATTTACATGAACAAATAGCTGGTTCATACCTGTTCACCAAAAGTCAGAAAGAGAAGTGATCAAATAAAAAAATGGAGGGAAAAAATCAGAAAATTCTATAAATAGGATTAAAACATAAGAAGAAGTGTTAACAACTATTAGCATAACTAGATGAGACTTATTTTTAGGATAAAACAAGGATACTCCTACTAGTGCACATCACTCATGTTTACTGATATTTGTAGCAGTCTCTTAAAAAGTATTGCCAACACCAACACCTCAACAACTAAGGGTTGTATACGAACCGAATCGAGTCGAATAATGAAATTTTATATTTGTATTTGTTTAATTTTTTTGAACACGAATTCAAATTCAAATATGAAACGAATATTAATTTTGATTTGTATTTGTATTTGTTTAACAATACGAATAATTAACGAATCATATACGAATATCGAATCGATTTGAGTATAATTTAAATATTAGTCAAATATCACTCTAAAAAACTTTTCTTATACTCCGTGTTTTTTATGTTGTAAATGCTTGCTATGACTTAATGTGTGTTTTTAGAATTTAAGTTTAATGGATCAATGCATTTTTAGATGGTACACAATATACTAAAGTGAATTAATTTTATGATTAATAAATATAAATCTATTTCAAACTTTTTGAAATATACACTAACACACACATATTAGAAATTATATATACTTATAATGTGTGAAATAAGTTGATAATTGTATATATCAAAGTCAAATAACTCCAATTTTATTCTTCAAATCGAATACATAATTATTTGTATTGTATTTGAAAGACATTTGAACCAAAAAATTGATTTGTATTCGTATTTATATTCTGATTTATTACAAATGGGCTTGGAATCTGTATGCAAAAGTGTATATATGGGCTACACTTTGAGGGTATTGTTATCTTTTAAAAGTTATTATAGTGTTATTACTATTATTATTATTAATATTGACATTAATATTATAATTATTATTAATCAAATATATTTGATTAATATTCGAATCGAATACACCGATATTCTTATTTGTATTTGATAACAACTCGAATCAAATTTAATATTCTTATTTGTATTTGTATTTGAATTTTCCGAATTCGAATCGTCTTATACGAATTCGAATCGCGAATAGAGCACAAGTAGGAACAAAAACTAAAACAAAGTTCAGAGCACCTTCTGACAGAGCAACATCGGATGCCAAGTAGAGCATATTTGAAGCAATACCCTGACGACGAGCAAACTTAGCCACACAAACGTTTGCAATATAAGCATATCTATGTGCGTCAAAGGGTGCAAAGACTCCCGACTGCCTTTTCACTTCCTGTAAGCAATGAGAAACTAGTAACAACACAATCTAAAAGCGCATCATTGCCCTTTCATACAGATGAAACATCCTACCAATCCAGTCCAGAGTCCCGACCTAAATGCATACATGATATCTTAGGGTTTGTTTCGTTCGAGGATTTCGGAGGAAAGGGGAGGGGAGGAATTATTTTTACTTTAAGGATCTTATTATCATTATCAGTTAGATTTAGACTAGAAATAATTATATATTTAGTAAAACCATCTATTTGTATACACTTTTTCATCTTCACTAAGTGGATAAATAATTAAAAAATAAATGTCACCCTCCCCTTTCCTCCTAAATTCTCGAACCAAACTAAAAGAAAGCTAAAAGAATCTACCCCGGGATATGTCTCCCCTTGCACAAATTGCCGAATGCTAAGATCCATAGTTCCCACCACACTATTTAGTACAGTTCTTCTGACATTTTTATCTTCCTTCTTGACCTGAAATGTTTAAGGAAGAAAAAAACTGAGCTAACAAAATCAAATATACTAATAATCCGACAATCCCATTTAGAAATAGCTGTTAGTGCCATTGATTAATCAAGATAGAAACCAAAATATGCCATGCAACTAGACTGCCTCCCTACACTAGAGTTTTTTCCACTTTTGGTCCCCTGACTTTAGTGGCTTGGACAGTTTTAGTCCTCGTCTTTTGGTTTTCCCAGATTTGGTGCACAACTATGGAATATTTCCCAGTTTTGGTCCTCCGGTTGATTTTTCCGGCCAACTATGCAAAACAGTCCTTTCGTTCTACTCACACCCATCCCCGTTATTAGCTATTAATCCCAAAACCTACTGCCTCTCCTTCAGTTTGTATGAAATGCTATGATGGTCTTTTTAAAAGGATTACCTTAGTAGATATATGTAATCCTTACTATTGTTGTATCACACCTATGTATCTTTACTACGCAGTTGGCCGGAAAAATCAACCGGAGGACAAAAACTGGGAAATATTCAATAGTTGTGCACCAAATCTGGGAAAAACAAAAGACGGGGACTAAAATAGTCCCAAGTCCCAACCACTAAAGTTGGGGGATCAAAGTGGAAAAAACTCCCCTACACTATAAGGAAGAGCAACAGCATATTTGTAAAAAATATTTACAATGACAACAACATTCAAGCCTTATTCCCAAAAGATATTTGTAAAAGATATTTAGGGGGGGGGGGGCATGAACCACAAGCAAGGCACTCCAGAATTCTGGAATTAGCAGGAAACATCCAAATAGACAAGTTAGGAATGGCCATGTGAATAATGGCAACATAGAAAGATGGAATACCAAATTAGGACTTCACCATGCGGCAAGATTTAAATGGCTCTTGTCCTTATGCTGAGGATTCCTTTCCGCTTTTTGTTTATATTTTCATATGTTCTTTGTATCTACTATTTCATTAATATTTATAATTTATATACTCCCTCCGTCCCATAAAATTCTTCCCACTTTCCTTTTGGGCCGTCCCAAAAAAATTCTTCCCACTTACCATTTTTGGACAATGTGTGTGGTTCACATTCATTTCACCTTTTTCTTACACAACCACAACCACACATTTCCACTTTATTCCACTTTCTTAATATCCGTGCCAAGTCAAAGTGGGAAGAATTTTGTGGGACGGAGGTAGTATATAACTCGAGCTATACTTATTTATATTTAGAGTAGCAATAGAGTGTCAGTTCTTGTTGTTGGTTTTGTTAATTTCATTCATTATTTACAAAGGCTTTTTCAAATTGCACTTCCCTGTATCTCAACTGGACTGCAAACAACAAATTCCATTAACTTGTCCTGCAAGATTCACCGGAACCTTTCTGGTCACAGTGAGTTTCTCTTGTTGACATCATAACAAGTATGGAATAGATGTAAAAGAAGAAGGCATTTACAAGTAGGTTTGTTTAGAATTCTTGTGAATAGGTGTGATACTTACTGCAACAAAACAGAAGCACTTTAGTGATCTTCTATCCTGGACAGAACATCTTTGCCTCAAAGAATAGAACTCCTGCACTCTCAAAAGATACAAAACCAGCGCATCATAAAGCAGGTCAAAAGAATCAATGCCAAATATCATAAAATAAGTATTTTTATTTTTAATTAACAAAAAGATAAATACAAACACTAGCCTGACAACAGATGTTGATATACCCTCATTCATACATGGGAATAAAATATTATCATACAGCTTTTCAAACATAATATCAATCATTTCAACCACACAATTATTCAATGATTTAGATGTTGGAATCCCATCAAGCACTAAACAAGAACATTGCTAGATCAAGAACCTGAGAAAATCTTTCCATGAAACCATTTCAATTATTGAGACTAGAAGAAACCAAAATACTCCCTCCATTCTTTTTTAGTTGCAACGGTCAACATTTCGCATTTGCCAACGCACGTCTTTGACCATAATTATATCTTAATTCTATTAGTAAAAAATATTAAAAATCAGATGTTGAAAATTTGTAATGAGATGAATTGAACAATATTTAAAAAAAAATCATAAAATAATAGCGTAAAATGTAGTCAAAGTAGAGCATGTGAATAGTGTAAAATTCAACATGTTGCGATTAAAACAGAACGGAGGATACTACTAAATAAACATATACTACATATATGGTAAGCATCCCCCCAATCCTCCCCATAAAAAGACAAGCAGTATCAGGGCATGCAAAAAGGATGTGCCAAATCTTCAAAAACTAAGCCGCGTAAGGAAATAAATTGGTTGATTCCCAAAAGTAACTAAAATGCTTGGCAACCAAAGTGGTGCTAAACCAATAGGCTCAAAAAAGACCTTTAAATTAGTCGTTTAACCTGAATGAATCATTTATTCATTGGCTGAAACTACAAAATGATTAATTATACAGCAACTCACCTGGTCTGCAAAGTTTCTTTTATAAGCATCAACATGCCTATAAGATTACAAAAGCATGATAGTTAATAATGACATTCAAAAAACGCATCATACTTGTGAAGTTGTGAGTTATTTTTACCAAACATGTGCAGGAAAGAGCCATAGAGTGAAGAAAGATAACTACAGCCACCAATTAATACAACACGCGTGTAAAAAACTTTGGGTAGAAAATGACCTAGTGAAGGATTGGGATTCCCAATGAGCTTCTGCTCGTAGCCAAGACGCTGCCTGCCATTGGAAGTCAGACAATGCGACAAGAAATCTAATGATTGTTCAAAAAATAGATAATATAAAGATGCGGGGAAAATGGTAAAGGATAGTGAGGAGCAAACCCAACCCAGTATTCTTCATCCAGCATGGCCTCACGAGCAACAAAACGGCCAAAGCTACGTTTTCTTAGTCCACTGTACTCCTCAGTTGGCTGTAGCCGATTAAAGGATAGCTCAGGCAGCTTGTTCTTTGTGATCTCACTCTTGAAAAGATGTGAATGGCGGATATTTTGGTCATCATTACAATGTACTTCAAGATTTTTCCATCTATCAAAAGAAACATGAAGTGTCTCCCTGTGCAACCAAATACAAACAACAACATCCAAGCCTTAGTCCCAAAAGATTTTGGGGTCAGCTAACATGAATCGATACATGATATCGGAGCCAAAAGGGAAAGAAAGATAAGAAAGAAAGATAAGGTATGATAGAAAAGATAAAACATATAATATAAAATAGAAAATTAGAGAGAAGATATACATAAAAATGATAAAAGGAATATATATAAAGAGATAAACTTCGTCATGAGATCATTTTTGGTATCATGCTTGTCCCAAGCCATGATAAAAGAGGAGGGTGTTGTGGTAGGCGCGTGATGGCCAACAATATCACTTAGCCACATCATATGACATGAATCGAAATGTCCCCAAAATCTTTTGGGAATAAGGTTTGGATGTTATTGTTGTATATATAAGGAGATAAAAGGATAAAAAACATAAGAAAGAAAAGGAAGACAACGAGAAAAAAAGATGATAAAAAGATCAGAAATAAACAAACATATCATGAAACAAAAATGAAAGAAGGGAAAATCACACTTTTAGCCCTCCAACTGTTTGAGTTTGATATTGTGTGATCTAGGACCTATATGTTAGAAGATACAACTAATCTAGGACCTTGTATATTAAGGTCTATGTGAGATTCTTGGTAACATAAAATGCTGAGAATGCCCCATGAACCCTAATATTGGACACTTCGAAGGGTGATTTTGACGGGATCAGATGAGGGACTATTTCCAAAAAAAGGTGTACATATTTTTAGAGTCTTCTAATTCTTCTCTACACAACAAATATGGTTCTGCATTGTCTTTATGAAGGACTCCTAAGACCTAACAGTCAGAAATAATATGAAACGAGTATAATAAACACAAAAGGACAGAAAAGGTGCTTAAACAGTAACTATCAGAAGAAATGGAAAAATAATTTTCTAGTTTCTAAAAATAGCAGAGGCTAGGTTATTTTGTAGTATATCACATAATAACTGAATAAATATAACTAAGCCATAAACAGATTAAACCCATCGATGCCTAAAATAACAAAAAATATGTCGTGCACATAACACCATGTACATATATAGTACTAGGTAGATAACAAACGCTACCCAAGTTCAGCCAAACTAAAAAAAAGAAGTAAAACTGATATAAAATTTATACCCTTTAGAGAAGAACCCCATATTGCTGTAATTGATTCTTAAATTAAATAAATAAATAAATAAATAAGTAAGTAAAAGAAAATGAAACCGATTTGCACAGTGATTATTTCTTAAAATTTTCACTGTTGCACAATAAATTCTTGAGTTTTAACATGTTGAGCAATAATTAGTTTTCAAATTTCGTCCAGGCGAGCAATCAGGTAACAGCAGAACGCAAGGGTAAATTCAAAAGATCAGCGAATAAATTGATTCAAATTCACCTGGTAAACATATTGACGACGATAAGCGACTCATTCTTGACACGTTTGGACACAACTCCTCCGAGTTCTTGCTCTCGAATTCTCAATTGCGGTAAGAACTCGCTTCTCAGCTCCATTAAATTCCCGTCAGCTACTTTTCTTTAGTTCTGGAGGAAGAGGAAGAGAAAGGTGTTGAATTGTGATGCCTGGGTCGGAAATTCAATATTCAATAACGTGGGAGAAGCGGGTCAAGCCGAGGACTTTAATGCGAAACAAATTGTAGCCGTGGTGACCCGTGAGTATATCTAAGCCTATCAATATACTGTTTGACACTGTCAAACATTAAATAGTTCCACCTTTCCTTTTCGGGCAGATTCAAAATTAAGTTCCACTTTCAAACATTTCCTTATTATCTACATCAAAACAGTGTCAAACAGTGTCAAACATTACCAAACAGTGTTCAAACAGTGCCAAACAGTGCACTCCACAGTAAAGTCAATTTTATTTTCTTAATATGTGTGAAGTCAAATGTGGAACTTGTTTGGGAATCGGAGGGAGTATATATATATATATATATATATATATATATATATATATATATATATATATATAAATGAACTTTTTAAGAACATACAAAGCGCTACATAATATTGTCATGTTATTATATATAATAATTATTTACTTAATTATTTTTATACCTTTTGTTTTTATTAGATTCTATATTTTATTGCATATTGATATGGAAACAAAAATCCTTATAAATCCACCTTAATTAATTTGGTAAGCTTCAAATAAGTAAAATAATTTTTTATTATCAAAGTGAAATTCTAATAACGTTTATTGATATGGAAACTAATTTATATTAGTTTACTACACCGAATTAAATAGAAATAAATATGCAAATTAGTTTACTTATTAATTTGACGCCTATTAATAAATTAGAAAGTTTCAAATAAGTAAATAATTAAAAATGAAATTAAAAATTATAACCAACATAAAGTATATATATTTTCACAAGTAAATATGTTTAGCTTAGCCAAATAAGTAATTTTTTTTTGTTGTTTCTTTATTTTACACCTAAAATTCAAATATGCCTTCACTTTTGAAATAGATTCCTAATCCAAATTAGAAAATCTTTATAGGTTTACGAATTCCTACTTTATTTTAATAGAATGTTTTTAATTGGATTGATTTCAGTTCCAGATTAAATCAGATCAGATCAAACTTTAATAATTATAACAACAAGACACATAAAAACAGACATCTAATAGACCATATTAATTCATACCAAATCAAACCCGAAATTTTAATTCAATTAAAAACGTTCTTATTAATGAGTAAACTGTAAGATCTAACAATTAAGAAATATAGATTTTTTTATTATTATTGGGTTCGTAACAATTATGTTTACTTGAGATGCTTATGTAGAAGACCAATTTAACTTTTTTTTTCATATATTTTTTTCTTTGTTTCACAAATGGAATATATTTCACATATATTTTTCATGATCAGAAGATTCCACCTATTTAACCAGAATTCAATCAATTTCAGCAAAATAAGTTAATTATATTTACTTTAGTATTATTAAACAGACTCTGTATTAGACTAAGTTTATTTTTCTTTTAAATCACATTATATGTGATCCAATAGAAATTAAATTTCACATTAACTAAATTACATACTGTCTGTGCATCGCACGGGCTTCAAAGCTAGTATTAAAATAATTATGATGTTAGTAAGCATTCAGGGACAGAGCTATTTGTTAAGCTAAGGGGGCCATGGCCCCTCCCATTTTTTTTATTTTTTCTTAAGTAGTATTATTATACTCCCTCCGTCCCTGAAAATCCTTCCCAGTTTGACTTGACACGCATATTAAGAAAATGGAATAAAGTGGAAATGTATGGTTGTGATTGTGTAATAAAAAAGCGAAATGAATGTGAACCACACAAATTGTCCAAAAATGGTAAGTGAGAAGAATTTTTTGGAACGGCCCAAAAAGGAAAGTGTGAAGGATTTTCAGGGACGGAGAGAGTAATATTTTTTTGCCGCCCTCCATATAAAATTGTGAAAGACTATTACCAAATACTCCGTAATACTAATGTTTTTTTGTAATCAATTATTATTATACGGAGTAGTAAGTAATAATTACTTGATATAAAAGCCAAACCTCGAGTGAAATTTATTAATACGAAATTATTAACAAATATATAAATCATGTGAGAAGTTCACAAAACTAAGTTATAATTAACCTGCAGTTCATTTTTACTTAATTTGAATATTATACATGAATATGAATTGGTATTGGTGTATCATTTCATATTGGTACAATATGTTTATATTTTATAGAAAGATTTGCACTTTTAGTCTCGTAACTTTCGGGTATGACCGTTACTAATCGTGCAACTTTACTCTCTTGTAATTTTGGTCATATAACTAATATAACTATGCAGTTTTAGAACGTGTTCACTAGAAAGTACATTTTATAATCGAAAATTCGACGTCAGCATCATATTTTCCGTTACTTTTTGCCCACCCTAGTTTATTTTTTATAGTTGTATTATATTATCCCCCCCCCCCCCCCCCCCCCCCCTTGCCCTCAAGTCTGGCTCCGCCCCTGTAAGCATTGAAAGCACACTCATAATAATATCCTAATGTACAATTACAAAATAATTTTGACATCAATATCTTTTCAGAATAATATTGAAGTACTCGTATAAAAAAGGATCTCATCATCATAAGGGTGTATAAGGGATAAGATTCCTCTGATTAAATTTTTAACAAAATACCACTCCCTAAACTAAAATAATATTTAAGTATATCACACACAAAAACTATCACACTTTAATAAAAAATATGAAAATTATTGTTCTTATTACAAAATTTTAAAAACGTTATATAAGTATTTTTCAGTTACATTGAAATTTTGTATGCATGATATGTACTACAAGTGTACAATAAAATATTTTATATTTTTTAATTATCACTCCTCCGTCCCTCTAAGATTGTCTCATTTTATCTTTTCGGGAAATCTCTACTAAGATGATTTCATACCAAATTTGGTAAAGTTTGTGTGTCTCTAAATCATTCTTACTTTATTCTTACTTTATCACTTCAATATCAACCACATAAACTCATTATTCTTAATAATCATGTCATCTAGATCCTTTTGTCTCAATGTTAGTGGGATGATGCTAGTATGTATTAATTAATACATACGTAGTACTTAACATGGTAATGTAGTATAATTATAATTACAATTAAAGAGCAAATCTTCCTAACCGGCCAATGTTGCGTACTGGTTCCCGCTGCATTTCTTCCCACGGATGACCTAGGTTCAAACTTTCTCTTGCTCAGAATTCAATTTCCGCTAGTCTTAGCCTATTTTCCCGGGTTTTCCGAGTTTGGACGGTTCTGGGTCCATCCTGGGTCACAACGGGTTGCCGAATATTTCTGGTTTTTAGTGTATTTGCGGGTTAATGATCAACCAGACCGGTATGGGTGTCGGTTCGCCGGGTTCCGGGTCGACCCGCCCGGTCCGATTGTTGTAACATAGCTTCAACTATAGCCATAAATTTTCATTTTATTAATAAGTATGCCCAACAAAGTGGAAAGAATGTTCTAATAAGAATAAGAATGTTTTTAATTGGATTACTAGAGTAATAAGAATGTTTTTAATTGAATTGAAACATTATGTTTGGTCTGGTGTAGTCTGATATGATGTGTTATGGTCACTATTCTAAAAATCGCTCTAGCCGCCCGACTAATCCCCGCCTAGGCTAGGAGGTGGTTGGACACCCCGACTTTTGTCTAGGCACCCCAACTAATTGCTTTGGCGCCTAGCTTAATTAGTTGGTCGTCTAGGGCACTTAGTATCCCGCCCTGAGCACCTAATCCTTGCCTAGGACGTCTAGATTCGCCGAACAATTGTTTATTTTTATTTTTCCTTTTGTATAAGATATATGTATCTTTAACTTTAATCATGAATATGAAGAAAGATACTTGTAAATTAAGATAAAACCTATATATGTTTGTATATATACTTAATTTTTTATTATTTAATATTTATAACATAATGCAGTTGAGTGATTAGTTGTCATATATTATTGCACGTGACAATTCTATCATTTATGCATGGTAATGTGTGTGTATTTTTCACACACACAAACACAATACTACCATTTTACTATGTCTTATTTACCATATTTATGTAAAAATATTGATAAAAATATAATTTATGTGTCTCTGACTAGGCCCCGCCTAGGCGCCCGCCTAGGCGCCCGCCTAGCCGCATAGGCGTTAGGCATTGGGATGACACCCGACTAGTGTCTAGCGCCTTTTAATACATTGGTTATGGTAAATGTCTATTCTACGTATATTTTACAAATGTAGAAGTTTAGTATGATTTGGTCTAAACTGATCTGATTTAATTTAATGTGTTTAAGTCGAATCTGATTTGCGACTAAAATAGGTGCGCAATTAAAAAAATAAAACATCATAACTCTCATTACCATTCACTTATTTCGTAATAACACAAAGTTCATTCTATCATAGTCATTGCATCTGTCTCAAAATGTAATAAAGTTGTGGATTTTGATATTTTAATGGTGTTAAAACAAACTTCTCCATGATAACATGTCAAGATGTTTGTATTCCTTAAATTACTTACATTAATTAATTTATTTTTGTCTGTATCTATTAGTCGTTAAGACTTTACTTCTTTATGAACTCTATATTTGGGTATGCAATATACGCCCGATAAATACTAGAACTTGTAGACTAGAACTTGTAGGCTATAAATACGTAACATTTATAGGCTATACACATGATTTTATAAGACAAGTAAACTACATTCCTCCAAATGTGACATGGTATCAGAGCCTCAGTAGCCTTAGCAAACTATACGTACGGGTAAAGCTTATTGCATTACTCATTGATACTGCAGCAGCTTCAAGCCATACGCTCAACTGTTTTGAAAATGCTAAAACTGAAGCTAGGATTGATCCTTCTTCGCACAAAGAATTCTTTTTTGTATGTGACAAACAATTTTTTTGTTTGTGACACAATTTTTTTGTCTATGACGGTCATCTTTTTTTCATGTAGTTATTCATGTGCAAAAACCCCTTTAAGAATAAATTTTACGATTGAAAATCACTTTTCAGAATAATATGATTGAATATGTGTGTAACTTTGTCAAAAAATTTAAATTATATAAAAAAACTATTCATTTTTTAATTTTTTGGCAATTAAATTTGTTCATATATAGAAGGGGTTTTGCGCATGAATAATC